TGTCCAAAATACTCTCTCTCTCTCTCTCTCTCACGTCTGCAAGCAGCGGCAGTGGCAGTAGCAGCAAGGGGGGACGATGGCGAGCAGCGAGCAACGACGGTGAGCAGCGAGTGACGACAGCTAGCAGCCTTATCTTTTGCACAGGTACGGAGAATTATGGTATTCATTGATATCCTTTCAGTATACATTTATTATGTTGGTTTTATTGATTTGCATATGTGAGTTAAGAATAATCTTCTGTATTTACAAGCTATAATCGGACCCTTCGGAATGGATGCAAAAGAGGGAAAAGTAGATTTTGATTTTGTGTTGTTTTAGGTTCCCGCCAACACCAACTGTTAAAGAAACCTTGATTAAGCCAACTTCTTGCTTTCTGCTGAGTTGTGTTCTTGTTTTTGTTTACTCGAGGTCGAAGGATGAAATCTTTGCCTAAGATACAAATTTATCATTTTTTTCCTATAATTATTTCAGCAACCAAATGAAGAAGGCTTTTAAAGCTAGCTGGTTACTTTTTATTTTTTATTTATTACAAAACAAATCCAAACTGCAGAACATATAATGGGTCCAAAGTCGATACAATCTTTATTGAGCCTTATTTATACTGGGATTTGATCAAAGCAAAGGGAAAATCAAATCAAGGGTGAGGTTGGAATCCAGTCACTTTTCACCTTTGTTGATAATTAATTCCCAATGGAGTTCTGAAATTCAGGTACCTCAGAGCGTGGCATGAATTGTATGGTTGTCACTTGTTGGTGTCACTTCAGACCATATGTCAATTTTATGCTCCTCTATATAATGCTTATATTATTTCTTCTCTGGAAATCTTGAGAAATAATGGAACCTTGAGGGAAGTGCATTAGGGGAACTTTTTCATTACTTCTTGAAACATATTTTAATCATATGTTTCATTTGTTAGGGTACTAGTTTTTGCATTGCTGGAATACGCTTGACAAAGGCAGATGTAATGTAATCTATATAACTGAAAATGGTGACTGCAGTAATGCTTCAACTAGTAGCAAATTTAAAATCTGGCATGTGCTGCTGAACATTTGTCTGTGTATGATAGAATAATGTTTGTATGTATGAATACTAACCAGAGCCAAAAGTTTAAAAAACTTGCCTTGTACCAGAGGCTGAATTTTCATTTGGTAAAATAAATTGATGTCTCTTTCTTTGATAGCTTTTTCTTCACCCTTTTTTTTTCCACCACTTTTTAAACCTATAGATGTGGATAATGTGATCACTGTAATAAAGTTAAGTGCCTTCAAAACAGAAAAGATATATGCCTTCAAAACAGACAAGATATATGCCTTCAAAACAGAAAAAATGAAGGCCAAAAACACATCAAACCTCCCAAAAGCATCTTATTCATAGGCTAATAATAAAGTTAAGTGCTTAATTAATAAGACAGATTTAATTTAAATTTTCAAGCATCTTATTCAACCAAGTGGTATTTCCAAACTTTCTTCATGAAACCAATTAAGGATTTAAACTGCTAGCATGAATATGGTGGTGGTGGTGTCATGTAAAACCATATCCCATAGCTAACTATCAAAAACAATAGGGAGATGTGCAACAAGGCACTAAAAGGATGCAATGGGTAAACAAGTACAATCGCCACGATTGAGGCAAGAAAACATATTATGGTCAGTGGACAAGCACAAAAATTGAAGAACTAGAATGGTTTGTATGTGATGATAGAACTTTTGAATAGAACTACATAGAAAGGATTATGGGCAGTGTTGGAGGGGTTGGGGGTAGTAAAATTACTAGTGTCAGTAAGAGGATGGAGAGCGAACGGCGTAACGGTGCTGTTATGAATATTGTCTTTGCTGTTGTGAAATAGTACTCCAGTTGATAAGGGACTAAGTATGGTTTGGAAAGGAGCGGTTGCGATTGGAATTGCTACAACCAATATTACATTCCTCATCTCCATTGACGATTCTCTTTTCCTAAAAAAGATAAGTCTGATTATAACTTGAAATATTCGGTTTGGCGAAATCAAAATTTCAGAATTTTCACTTCAATCATTTGGTGATGATGATGATGAAATTTTTGATGCACCTGGTGGGTAGAATAAAGTATTCTCAATTTTCCTATTGGCTTCATTGGGATAAAGTACTGTTGAAATGTCAAGGGCTGATAAGCCTTCCTGATTCCTTACATTTTTGTCGATGTTGACTTTTTTAATTAAAAACTTCACAATCTGCGCAAAGGACATGTGTACAAATCAAAAATGTTCTACAATGGATTTAGAACGCAAAATTTATTAGTAGAGTCCACTTTTTAAAAAAAAAAAATTTAAAAAATGATCCATTCATTTATTTTTCTATTTCTAAGTTGTTACCAAATGATTATGAATAATGCTATACGTACAAAATGGTATATCAATTAGTATACTAACGGATAATGTGATATAATTTTAAAGGTTTTGGATATTTGTAATTTGTATTGTTAGCTGTATATATCTATATTACTATATTGTGCATTATCATATTGTGTTTTACCATACTTAGCTTCTCTTTCTCCTATATAAAGGAGTCTTGTATTCACTCATATTTATTCATTGAAATATACAGAGTTATATTCTCTCTCTCTCTCTCTCTCTCTCTCTCTCTCTCTCTCTCTCTCTCCTCATAACATGGTATCAGAGTATAGGTTCTGAACCTTGCTTCTTGGCTCTCCCACCGGCACTCTCAGCCACCAGTAACTTTAATTTAATTGGTTGTTTCTTTGCTCTCTCACCACTGGCCGTAATCACAAAAATACGACCACCATCATACTCGTCTCTTTCAAACGATTCTAGAGCCACCAACCATGCCTCAAAATAAGCCTAGACGCGCTCTCATGTGCTACTTGTTTCCAGGCGCGTCATTCAAGATGCCACCAGTCTCTCCACATGCTACCACGCACCAATTGCCAGACGATCATACACCACGCATCTGTCATGCGTGCGTACTTTCCCTATAGTTTTCACTGATCTTAGCCCTAGGCGTGTCCCTAACGTCAGCGCTATCACTACAGTGCGCCATACGCCTCTGCTGCTAACGTGCGCGGCACATCCTCCTACTAACATGCATCGTGCACCTGCTGACGTTAGCCCTACCCTATGTTGACATCATCTATACTTCTTAATTGGTTTAGGCTCTTTTCAGGCTAGTGCACTCATTTTTGACCTATTTTGGGCCGATTGAACTTGATTCCTTACTATTTTCGTTCATTGTGTGTTAACTTTACATGAATTAGTGATTGTCAACCTTTCGCATGAATTAGTGATTGTTCGTTGCACTATGAATGTGTGTTAACTTTACATTTTACATTGATATTCCTATTTTAGGTTCTGTTTTGGAACTCTGAGGTTTGCCCAGTTGTGTTCAAGCTCAACTCCAACTGACTGGTCCATATAAAGAAGATTATTTGTTTGTATTTAGTTTATCTAAATTGCTAATTGAACCAGTTCTATAATTATAGTTGTATATGTGTATGTATTGGGCCTTGAAAAGAACAAGTTAGCAAAGAACTAGAAAGACGAGGATTCCAACCAACCTCAAAACATGTTAGGAAGAGAAGTACATAGAAGATAATTCAATTTGCTTTTTTAATGAAATTTTAGGTGGTTTTACCTTGTGTTTCCTTCATTGGATTTGAACTCTTATGAATAATTATGGTTTCTTCATCTGTTTAACAACTCCTCAAGCTTCCAAGGTTCCCTTTAACTTTCACATGTGTTTATGTGAGGATGAGGTAACCATTATTATAGCAAAAAAGAGAGAATATGATTGAACTACATGAATATTTTTCATGCATGTTTTTTTTTAAACAAAAGTATATATCTTCTGTGTCAAATTTTTGCAAATTCACTCTCCATCCCTCTATCAAAATTTATGTTTCTTTGGTTAATAGTGTGTTTAAATTGAAGTTATACATAATTAAGGAAAGAAAGATGACAATGAAATCTATTTGGTGGTTGGGATTGCATAAAAAATAAAGTAACACAATTTGTAATTATTTTTATTGTGTGAAACAGTGGAAAACAAATGACATGATAGCCAATTTTGATGCACCATTCTAGAAAACATTTATTAAAATTTTCTTGAAAATATCTTTACTCAACAAAATATTTAAGATAGTTTTTGGTTTGATAGTGGACATTAGAAGCAAGATCAACTTTAAAATAGTTGAGCAAAATCATCTCATGTGTTATCTTTATTTTGAAATAAGGTGTGCCATTTCTAACATAACATCAAGGGAGAAATTCCCTTTTTACTAAACTTAGACGGATTCTGACCCTTTGTGTGTGGATATCATAAAATATCATTCAAAACATAATAATAGCTATTGATACCCTTTTCTCATTGTCTTTCCTTTGGCTTTGGCCTTGGTTGCCTTCACCTTGGGGTGGCCGTAGCTTGCCTCGACCTAGTGATGGCCTTGGATTGCCTCGGCCTAGGGGTGGCCTTGGTTTCCTTAGACTTACCCTTGGTTCCAAGCCTTGTATGATTATATCTTAAATTTATTGTCTTTCAAGTCCAATGTCTAAGTTACTTGGGCTTTGGTGGTGGCCTTCATTGACTTGGCCTTGATGTCCATAGTTGTAATTATCTATGCCTTAGCCCTAATATTTGGTTGTAATTGTTGTCACAGTTATTTTTGGTAACTCTTTTATTTATTTTGAGAAACAGAAAAGACAATGGGAGAGAAGTGGTGGTGGTTCAATGCCCTAGGATGGATGCTTGTGGCCAGGTATTGGTCTCTTCTTTTTATTATTGTTTTTATTAGGAGTTTTGTTTTAATGAAAAGATTTATGTACTTTTAATGTGAAGTTGGGTCGAATACATGTGTGCAAGGATGGACTTGTGGAATAAATTTATTGGGCAATAAATCAAATATTGTAGAGTAGCTCCTTTATCCTTTGGATCATCTAGTTTGTTTATTTTGCTTTTAGTTGAAATATATAGTGTTTATCTGTAAGGATGTTAGCAAGTTCTAAAATTCTAAATTTTTACTTAGTGTCTTATGGATATCAAAGATCTGAATTCTTTTCAACACTATTTATTCATTCAGTTATCATGTAGCAATTGATTATTTTACAAAATTTTCTATCATGAGAAGTTGATCATTTCACAATCTCTCCTTTTACACTAATGTGTGCATTTTTCCATATAGGGTAGCAACTTTGATGGTGATTTTTTTGTTTTTTTTTTCAATTGGTAGGTGATTATTTATATTTATGTAGATAATTTTATTAAATTGAACAATCATAATTTATAAATAATAGAGCAAAAATAATCAATCTTTGTCTTTGGCATAAATTGACTCCCTAACCTTGTAATTAGAAGTATGTAAAAATTATCAACTAAGCTAGTCCACTTGATTAACTGTTCCACTATTGTGGCAGTCCACTAAGCTAGTGTTATTTATATTGGTGTTATTTATATTGTGGCAGTCCACTAAGCTAGTCCACTTGATTAACTATTCCACTGGTGTTATTTATATTTCTTGCCAAACTCTTCCACTAGTGTGGCAGTCCAATCTTCCACTATTCTGTTCTGCTGATCTGTTTCCCCTGCTGTAGTATTCAATTCTTTTTTGGTTTCAGGATTGGACACAGTATGATAACTGATGCTGAGCAGATGAGTCTTATAACACTAGGGAAGGTAACATAACCATGAATACAACCCTTACCTCGTATTGTATAAAGGATGTGTGCAATCTTGATGTGCTTTGCCTTTTGTTTTTGCTGTATTTGGACAACAACAGCCCTTGTATATTAAGGCAACCCTTCCATAGATAGGCCGCCTTAACAAAAATTGGAGTCCATGAAACTAATTTTTTTATGCACCATCAGCACATAAACACTTAAATCAACAGCTGTAATGTACCTTTAACCCTAATAATAATATATCTTTTGTCGTAAACAAATGATCTGAAGTAGAACACAGCATGAATGCATTTAACACATCGTGGTGTTATTCTTCATCTTGGCTCAAAATGCTTCCTGTAAATATGTATGGCACGTTATGTCCTCAATATGTTGATAATCACTTTAGTTTAGATTAACATTTATCCTGTCTATAAAAAAAAAATAAATAAATTAAAATATATCCTGTTTACCATTCTGATGCAACAATTTTCTTCTTTTTTCCCCATCTCCTCCGCCCCCCCTCTATCTAGAGCATTCTGGTGGAGCCAACTAATGGAAACACTGGCATTGGACTTGCATTTATAGCTGCTTCAAAAGGATATAAGCTCATATTGACAATGCCAACCTCAATGAGTCTAGAAAGAAGGGTTCTTTTTAAAGCTTTTGGAGCTGAGCTTGTTTTGACTGGTTCTGCTAAGGGGATGAACGGAGCAGTTCAGAAAGCTGAAGAAATT